GGTCGGCAGTGGGGGCGGACTGGTGGTATAGCGCTCGGGCGGGCAGCGTGCGCGGACCGGTAGCCCTGGCCATGGGCGGACAGTGGGAGCGGGCTGGTTACTCCTGGCGTGGGCGGGTGACGTGGGCGGACCGGTGGTTCTGGCCGGTATACGAGCAGTGGGAGCGGACTGGTAGCTCTTGGCATGGACGGGTAGCGAGAGCCGACTGATGGCTCTGACCCGTGGCGGGCAGTGACTGTGGTAACTCTGACCCGTGGCGGGCAATGACTGTGGTAGCTCTGGCCGGTGGCGGGCAGTGAGTGGTAGCCCTGGCCGGTGGCTGTGCAGTGGATCGTGGCCGACCGTGGTAGCCCTGCCGCGGCCGGGGAGCGCTGAGCTGACGGTGGCAACTTTGCGATGGTCGGTTGGGGAGGCGGAGGAACTTACGGTCGTCAGGAGCAGAAATGCAGCTGCGGGTAACCAATTGGTGGGTGTCGCATCGTCTCACATCTGACCTCAGCAGGAAATGACCGCACGTCTGGTCTCGGATGTCATTATCTCACATTTTATGTCCATCTCGGGTGTCATTGTCTCGCGTCTTATGCCCATCTCGGTGGGCAGTGAATTTCCATCCGATCTGTGATCTCATCTGACTTCTGATGTCCCTGCATCCATACGTGAGCACAGGATCTGTCTGTGTGTGTGTGTGGAGAAGGCTCGTGCTCGTGAAATCGCCGACAAGAGCCATTTTCGTTGTCGTGGCTCATCTGGGTACCGGCAATTTGGTACAGCACACCCTCAGTATGTTCTTGTCTTTTCTTGGGTCGCCTGATGTTTCGAGTTAGTGCACTGAAGCGAACTGTTTGAAATTTGCTGACGTTCAGGCGCTGTTGTGATACGAGTTGCGCGAATTACAACTAGTAGAGGCCGAGATATATTGTGTGGTGTGAATAGACTGAAAATACATCACATCAGCTAACGTATATCATGAATTGGTCTTGAATTTCACACAAATCGAACAAAGCAAAGTGCGGAATTAGGGACTGGTGTGACCCGCCCTTGTGTGAGGGTCTCTAGAGGCAGATTGCAGTAGGTACTGATCTCTCAACGGCTCGTCATCCAAAGCCGGCCACAACCGCTGCCGTGTTCGTGTTTACCACGAAATATGTGTATATGCGTGCTAATCTATAAATAAAACAGCTGCTGACATATGATACGGATTTTATGGAAAATGTGATTAGCGTGCTTTTCCTTCCGCAGCAGAAAGTTACTTTCGAACCTTAAATCCTCAAGTACATCATCTTCTAGCTATCGCTGCACCCACGATGAGAAACGTCGCTTGCTTACTGTTTAGGGACGTTGTTGTGATATTTCGGTGCATTTAGTGCCTCCTCCTTGCCACTTGTTAGGTCTTGGTTAGGAACAATGGGCAGATCTTCCGATTTCCAGGCGTGGCGCTTGGCGAAGGCGAACAAAGCGAAGCCACTCATCCGTTGGCTGGCATCATTCATTTGGATGCTAATTTGCGTCTTTTGATTTGATCATCCTGAAGTTTGCGAGCCTGCCTTTAACCTGCTGGCGCATTATCTTGTTAGACCCTGCCTCCGACCCCAGAATCCACCCGAAATCGAATCAGCCCTCTGCTGGCCAGCGCATTAGCCGCCGACAAAAACTGTCTCGGCCACGAGAACAAAGCACGTTTGTGTTGCTGTGGCGAAGGAGGCCGAAGTAAGCGGCTGGTTTCTCTCGAGCGTGCCCCGGCTGTTTCGTGAAGTCGGTTGATCGACGAATCCAGTCCAGGCCATGCGGAAGGTCAGCACGGTCGCGTTCGGGCCCGGAGCGACCAGCCACGGTCCGCTGGCTGGCCTGCTCCTCACGCGCCACCGTCGCGGCCGTGCCGCGCACGCGCTCTCGGTCACCGGTGTGCATCTGAGGTGGCATGCTGGACGTGTTGGGATTCCGATGTCTATGGACGCGTGTGTGTCTTTGCTTCTCCATCTGTTTGCGCCCCAGTCTGCGTCTGTGGACGGGTTTTCGGTGTCCTTATCAGCTGGAGCTAGCGCACAAGCCCTAGCCTCGCCGATCTGACTGTTTTTCTCCGCTTCGCTGGGCGAGGGGGCTGGGCGAGCCGCTATGCCGTCTGGAGAACTAGGCGTGCTAAGCCAAGTGGAAAGCAGCATGGCATGACGTCACGTGACACTGCATCGGTCTGGGTGTTCTGTAACGAGCCTTTCGGACTATGTTGGTTGAGTCATTTATAATTCCTGGTCATTACCAATTCATATTTCATTTAAAAATGTATCCATGTTTGCATACGCTGCAAGGTTGATATAATCTGTGTTGCGCCAAACCAAACCGTGGAAGGTCGAATATGGCTTATGTTGTTTTATTCGGTGGCTTGGATTTAGTTTGATCTTGGACGACTTGACTGACCGTAATATATTTTGTAGCGTCTACGTCATTTAGCATGAAATTGAGATCATCAGCATGACGCAGTGCTTCTGAATGCATATCTCAAGATAAACGAGCGTTTTTTTTTTTGTTTTTTTTAGGACTGGCCCCCAAATGCTGCCGAAGTGCCCTCAACAAATCACTCATGAGCAATCTATGGTAGGTCTCCGACTTTGTACAGGTATAGCACAAGTTTAACTTGCACAGGACACGTCAGCACCATGCCTCCAGTGATTGTAACCTCAACTACAGGGCACTTCGGCACCGTGCGTCTAGCGATTCCAATGAACGTCTCAGGGTAGGAGGCCCTCCGAGGCTCTATCACCCGTCAAGGGTTGTACGGCCCACTAGGCGTTTTGAATGAAAGGTCTTGAAAAATATGCAGGACCAGAATTGTTTCGCCAGTTTTTTACCAAAGGCCCACTTAAAGTGTAATGCTCTTGTATCGCATTTTCGTGAAGAGATCAAAATATTTAGATGGCAATGCCTATTTCCATTTTTAAAAATCACAAACACCAGAAATATTAAACCGCTGCACTTTTTCTTCCTTTCTAACGTTGTGGATTAGGCACAGGCACAATGAGCGTTGCCAAGCCGACTTGTATGGAATGACACCCCTTTCCCGCTTAGCTTCGGTGAAAAAGAAATCCCCCCCCCCCCCCCACGTCCCGCGGCCAAAAGCCTCAGTGGCAAAGACCATGCTAGGGTTTCTCTAACATAAGAACAGGTCCCTGACGCTTCAGAATAGGACCCCAAACCTACAAAGGCCCCTTTAGCGGAGAAGAAGGGCTCCGTTGACGGGAAGGGTCCCTACAACCCGATTTGCCCCGCTTCTGGGCGAAATCTTGGCTATGCCACTGGTCACTTGCACATGCCACCCTGGTATCACCGGATCGCAACAGTCAGTGGCGTGCAGCGTGCAAGGGGGACTGCGAGCATCAGGGGCGTGCGCACTATATACAATTTTACGTAAATATGCCTTTTTGCATATGCATGTTGACATCTGCCGGAAATGACAAACATCCGGTTTTAACAAGATAAAGATTTAAAATGTGCAGCATTGTTGTACGTTAAATAATAAATTTCGCGTACCTCTGTGTGAAAACATGCGATTTTTTATGA